AAAGCATTGGAAACAAAATGGAAATTCTTTTCTGTTCTGAACTTACATACAGTGTTTACACCCCCATGTGTTACCAACCTGAAGAAATACATAAGTGGGAGAATAGCCAAGGAAGAAGATTTGAAGAGGATACCCTCTTTAGGACCATTCAGATCTCTCTTTCATAAAGACTTTTTTCCTACTTCAACTGATAGTGAGTGATCCCATCACTGTCCGTGTAGTGGCTTACTTAAATTGATCTTCTGGGGTTCCAGGACTATAATCTATTTCTTTGTATCTGTTACACTGACCTCCTTACACATGGTAGAAACTCAGGAATTTGTTAGTTCTTAAGTAGTTGAAGAGGTTCAATGATAGGGGGACTGCCAGTCTGCAAAGGGTGAATTCAGGGAGGCTGGGTGGCATTAGTGGCTTGTGCATAGGTTTTGGAACCAGACAGAACTGTTATGAATTCTGCCTCTGTACTTACAGCTACTGAACATTGGGTAAATTTATGCCAACTGAATTTCTGCCTTTTAAAATAGAGATGATGATCGCTAGTTACAGATTGTGAGGATGAGATACTCTATAAAAATACTGTATATAACAAAGTTCATTACAGGTGCTAAGTAAATGATAATTGTCATTAGGATACAACAGAACCTTACATTGTCATGAAAGGTAGGATGAACATGATTTTATAATCAAATCATCTATCACAAGTGAAAGATCTAAAAAGGAAGCACTTTTTATTTGGGAAGATAAAAACATATCTTGCTGCCTGAGTATTACAGGCTGAAATTATAAATAGATTCAAGAACAATTTAGATAAATTTATGGATGAGAGATTAAGTTCAATTCAAAAAATATATATGTGCCTGCATGCCTGCTATTCCCTGGGCAATGTGGATATCATATGAGTAATAAAGCCTAGTGGATTTATTATAAGTTGTGTGGGTATATAATGTATCCCAAAATGACTCCCAGCAGAGTTCTGGTGAGGTGCTTCACAGCTCACAGATTTGATTTAGTATATACCTGACTTTTCCTTTTCTTTTCTAAGATACACTTATGTAAACTTAATCTAGAAATCCAGAGATGCTGATGTCTATCTTGGTACTTTTATTACTTCTTCACAGAATTTTCTGGGCCTCTTTTACTTGCCTTGACCCTTTCACATAACAACCAGTACAGAAAGAGATAATAATGCTGACACTTGAAGGTACACATCTGACTCAGACCTTTGACTTGCTGAAAGAGGTCAGAGTGTGGTGTAAACCCAAATAAGGAAATGGTTCCTATCAGAGTGGAAAACATTCATCCTGTCTGCCTGCCTCTCCCTCCCTTGCACAAGAACTTGAGATGAGAAGAGCTGTATTGTTATTTTAATCTTAAGTAGTATTCATTATAATTAAATGAATTCCATGGAAGAAGTTTTCATTTTTGGAAGCATACTTTCTTTAATTTTATAAACTTACAAAGTTGTTTCTTTGTTGTATTTGCCTATGTGGTTCCCTTGTATCTTCCCGGCGATGTTAGTTTTACAGGATTTGTAGAAGCCAAGCTAAATACTGAATTAAATGGTCTGTTATTTATTTTTGGAGATAAAGTATTTATCTTGGCAGATTTTGTTGTTTTTGCCTTATGTTTCAGGTGCATAACTTGTAGGGAGATAAGGTTCTTGGCATTTCTGTCTTGTTTAGAAAATAAAGTGTAGGCCATTCCTTAAATACATGTATGTATGTTTATATTGTTTATAAAGGCAAAGTTACATTTTATTGCCTCCAAGGATTGAAAGGAATGTTTACTGCAAAATATGCTATGTTCATAAGGTTTTTGTAAAAATATCCCACTTGCATAAAAATCTATAAAAGTTACATTGTTTTTGAACATTTAATATTGTCCCCAGTAAAAAAATATATACTTTAGGATACTTAGGTGGCTTGGTCAGTTGAGTGTCCAACTTCAGCTCAAGTCATGGTCTTAGTTAGTGAGTTCGAGCTGCATATTGGGCTGCTTGCTGTGGGGCGAAGCTGCTTTAGTTCCTCTGTCCCCCTCTCTCTGCCCCTCCCCCACTTGTACTCTCTCTCAGATATGGACATTAATAATTTTTTTTAATATAAAGCTTAAAAATATACACACACACACATATATACACACATTGAGTTTTACTGAGTTAATTGGCCCAATCCTTAGAGACCAAAGGAATATGAATTTAACCGAAGGTAGTTACTTTAAGCCTAGCAGCTAACTCTTCAACAAATGGCTTTTTTTTTTTTTTTTTTTTTTTTAACATTTATTTATTATTGAGAGAGCATGAGCATGGAAGGGGCAGAGAGAGAGGAGACACAGAATCCGAAGCAGGCTCCAGGCTCTGAGCTGTCAGCACAGAGCTCGATGCGGGGCTTGAACTGACAGACTACAAGATCATGACCTGAGCCAAAGTCAGATGCTTAACCGACTGAGCCACCCAGGTGCCCCAGCAAATGGCATTTTTTTTTTGTTTTGTTTTGTTTTTAATGAAATTTTATTTATTTATTTATTTTTGGCTCACTGAAAAATGAATTCTATAAAGTATATAATAAGGACACTTATTTTCCATAATTGTAAACCTCACATTTTGATACTAAAAAGCTTTGGAATTCAACTTTTGAGACAGTATTTTAGGTAACTTTTTTTTTAATCCCGGTAACATAGAAGACAGATGATCCACAGTCTTTATTTAGTATGAAACCTTTTATCAGTGCTATTTTCTAATTAATAAAATATACTAACGTCAGCTTAATTCCTGGCTGAGGAATTGTAAAATAATTAAAAAGGAGTAAAATGCAAAGAATCTTAAATAAATGTTTTCTTGGTATTGATCATTTTATGTTCGGTGCACACCCAACTTACCATGTACTTGCAATAGACTATTGAGAATTGATCTTGAATCCCATTTTCAATAATTGAAGTAAATATGTTTATTCTTTCTGTAGAGACTTAATATTATTTTGTATTCTATGCTTATTTTATTTTATTTTTTTTTTTAATTTTTTTTTTCAACATTT